ACCCTGCCTCAAAGGAGGCTGATGGTGTTTCTGAAGACGACACCCAAGGTTGTTCCCTGTATAACAACAATACATGCTATAAAATGGGGTTCTCTGGGCAAAACAAACACCATTTTCACTGGGTCAGCCCTGTGTGCTTCAAGAGGCCATTATGAACAGACCTGCTGATGTTCCCTTGGAGAAGGAATGGGTTTGGAAGGTCGCGGGACCTCAATTGAGATTCCAGCTGCTCTCCCAGGCATTTCATGCAATTCTGTCCTAATTGCACGAGGTAACTGGAGCCTGGGTACTAGAGTCCATAGCAGTGGTTCTCACCCTTCGTAATGCTGCAGCCCTTTAATACTGATCCTCATATTGTGATGCCCCCCCACACCATAAAATTATTTTCGTGGCTACTCCATAACTGTAATTTTTCTGTGGTTATGTGTAAATATCTGATGTGTAGGATATCTGATATGTGACCCCCAAAGGGGTCATGACCCCCAGGTTGAAAATCACTGTCTATAGGATAGGGGAGGTTGACTGAAGTGGGGGGGACTCAATCTGTGCAGCTGTGGATAAGCCATCATCCATGCTGGGTGAAGACTTCCCGGTGTGGTAGCCATGGGTTCCCTCACCCATGCTCTGTAAACCCAATAAATGTACTGGTTCCCCAGGTGAACTCTGGTAAAATTGTTCTGCGTTTTGTTGTTAGGGGAGGCTATCTACATTGTTTACCTCTCTCCAAGGAGATTATTCTCACAACCCACAAACACCTCCCCCCATGAATCCCTAAAATACATCCATGCATCCAAAGGTTCAGAGTGGCATTATTCATTACAGACCGTGAGAACAATCCATGCCCATCAGCAGATGGATGAATAGGGCGTGGCCCATCACACAATGGAATATTATTCATCAATAAAAAGGAAGGGAAGCATTACCACATGTTCCAGCATGGGTGAACTATATCACTGAAGGCCAGACAGAAAGCACCTCACACCGCATGATCCCATGCTTATGAAAACCCAGAAGAAGCAAATCCCCACAGCGAGACAGGAGATTAGTGGTTGTCGGGTACTGGGGAAGAGGGAGGGAGCCTCGGCTAGATTTTTTAAGGAGTTTCCTCTTAGAACAATGAAAACTAGTGGTGAGGGATACACAGTCAATGAGTACCAGAAGCTATGGGACTCAAGTGAGTGGTTTGGAAGGCATGGTGTGCATTTGTCCTCAGGAAGACCATTTTTAAACTAACAAAAATAAAAACAATTAAATGCTTTAAAGCAAAGGTTCTCAACCTGTGGATCACGACGCCTCTGGGGGATTAGAATGACCCTCTCACAGGGGTCGCCTAAGGCCATCAGAAAACACGGATACTTACATTATGATCCATAACATTAGCAAAATTAGAGTTATGAAGCAGCAGTGAGAATAATTTTATGCTTGGGGTCAGTACAACATGAGGAACTGTAGTAAAGGGCCACAGCATTAGGAGGGTTGGGAAGCCCTGCTTTAAAGTAAGAAGACCCCGTCCCCCAGGAGCTCATGGGCAGCAATGCTCGTTCTGTGTTGCTCTCCCCTCCTCCTCTTCCTTCTCCAAGTCCCTCCCTTCTTCCTTCCCTCCCTTCTTCCTCTTCCCCCCTTTCCTCCCCCTCCCTCCAACAGAGACTCACTCTGTATCCCAGACTAGCCTTGAAACTCATGGCAATCCTCCTGCTTCAGCTTTCAAAGTTCTGGGATCCCAGCTGTGACCCACCATGCCTGCAGGCTATGTGTCTTTTAGTGTCTACATAACTCCTAACCCTGGATGACAGCCAGTCCTGGAGATCCTCTTGTCTCTACTTGCTGAGTGCTGGGATGACAAGCATACACCACCACACCTGGCTTTCTTTTTTTTTAACGTGGCCTCTAGATTCTGACTAAGTCCTCTCATTTGTACAGGAAGCACCTTACTGATGGTGCTATCTCCCCATTCCCTATCATGGCTTTTGACTTTTTAAGGCCATTGTCAAGAACCATAACTGCGTCATTTCACAGTCTAAGAGGAGCAAGGACAAAATGGGCAGCCAGCCGCGTCAGGTCCTGGGCCCTGCCCAAGGTCATCGGGGTCATCAGTGGCTGGCAAGAGGAGTGGAGTCAATGTGCCTCAGGTGCCCAGAAATTTCTGGACCTGGTTCATGGCGGAACACCAAAATGGCCCAGACAGAGAGTGTGAGAAGTTTACAGCAAACTGCTTCCTGATGGCATGGGGACCCTCCCCACAGCCCACATACAGACACACACAGCCTCACCTCCCAGGCTGGCCTCAGGCTCTGTCTCTGGCCAGCCTTAAACACATCCTTTCCCTTTCTGAGCCTTAACCTGCTTCCCTAATCTGGCTGCTACCTCCCACCCAATTTAGGCCACAGACTATTTTTCCCTGCTCCAGTCACAGCCCCTGGAAGCCCTCCAGAGCCTCGGATAATCTGGAGAGGTGGGATTCCCAAGGGGCTTCCAAACTCAGCTCCTTATGTGACCTCTCAGGGATATGGTGGTACCTACCAGGTTGGGGGCTCCTTATAGGGCTTTGGACCCTCCCCTCGGCACCCCAGGTTCCTTGTTTGTATGTAGCTATGAACAGCCTGTCTTTAGACTCCATTGTGGGGATAAAACAAAACATAAAAGCCCTGAGTGCAGTGTCCCATTCCTCTCCCTCTTCATGGGACACAGGCTATTCAAGTGCCTGGCAATGGCTGTGGTGGCAGCTGTCCACAGCTGGACATACCTTCCCCTCCAGCTACTCACACAGAGCTAGGACACAAGCCAGGGTCCAGAATCCCCACCCCCCATCTCCACTGATGTGGCCATCTGGATCCCCAGGGCTTGCTGCCCTGAGACTCTGGGCCATGGGGAGCCTCTCTGGACAGCTCTAGACGTGTCTGTAAATTTCTGCCAGGCTTGAAGGCACACTTCTCAGTCAGGGAAGCACAAACCTGCCTCTCGGAACCCATGCCTGCGGAACTTGGCCGAGAAGGAGTCGTGTTTGCCATCGTTTTCGTTTATTGTCCCCAGATCTTGGCCAGCCACAGGCTGTCCTGATCCATTTGTCACCTGGCCTGGCCTTGGCCTCTGTACAGGCAGGTTCTCATGGCATTGTCCTTGCTAAAGCTAGAGGCCTTAAAATAGCTAGCTTTAGGAGCCGAGATGGTGGCTCGGTTGGCAGAGTGCTTGCTTAGCGTGCACAGTGCCCTGGGTTCCTTCCATCTTCAGTACTGCATATACAGGGTGTGGTGGCACATGGCTGTCATCCCAGAACTATGGATGTGAAGACAGGAGGGTCAGAAGTTCAGGATTATCTTCAGCTACAGGGCATGTTTGAGGCCGGGCTGGGTTCAGAAAACTCTTTACCCAAGGAAGGAGAGTAAGAAAGGTAAAGGAGAAGGGAGAGGAAGGGGGAGATGGGGGCTGGGGAGCAAGCGTCCTTTAAGCAACATGTGGAGGTATATATATCTGTAATGCCAGTACTCTGAGAGGCCTGAGGTAAGAGGGTTGCTGAGTTTGAGACCAGCCTGGGATACAGTGAGATTCTGTCTCCACTAAAGCCCACTTGAGAAACCACAGGAAGCTCTGTCCCTCTCCCTGGCATGTGGCCCTCTAGGACATCCTGGGATGACCACATAGGCTACAGGCTATATGGAGACCTTCTACTTTCTCCTACAGGGCAGGGGCACACAATGCTTGACTGGATACACTACTCTCAAAGAGTGGCGTCCTGCCCATGGCTCTTCTCATGCCAAGTTGACAACCCTCCCTGCAAAGGACAGATGCTTGGGGCACATAAAAAATGCCACCGTCTTGCACAAAGAGGGAAAAAAATGCTGTACCCTCAGCCATGAAGCCACGTGGCACCCCTGGTCACTCCACCTCACAGCAGCAGCGTAAGCCTCACTGTCCCCTGGCTTAAGTCCTATGACCAGGTTTTCCTTTGCCTGTGGGAGTGCACAGTGCTCAGGAGGGAGAGCTGGATTTGTAGTAAAATCAGGGCAGATGGCAGAAACCTGGTCATCCAACACAGCTGGGCTGGCCCTGGGGACCTGCACCCTGTAGCCTGCTGCACTGCACCCTCAGTCCCACAATTTGCATGTCCTCCTAACCCTTTGTGGCTGCAAGCCATGCTCTAAAGAGACAAAAATGCAAAAACCTTGGGCCAAGCAGGACAGCCAGCCTGTGTCGACAAGTTGCATACTCTAGCAACTCCTGAGTGTCCTGGGTGGTCATGTGCTACATAGTACTCCCTTGCTGACACTGGTGATGAGATTTGTACCTCTTCTGTCACACACTGTGGGGTGGAGAGCCCACTCTACCCCACTCTAACCACTTGGCGTTAGGATGAATTTGCATACGTGCACACCTTACATTTTGAGGCAGGGTCTTTCACTGAACCTGGAGCTCATCGATTCAGTTAGACTGACTGGCCAATGAGTGGCAGGCATCCTCTTGTCTCTGACACCCCAGCACTGGACTATAGGCCTGGCTTTTTATGTGGGTGTTACAGATCACACTCAGGTCTCATGCTCTTGTGGCAAGCCCTTCACTGATTAAGCCATTTCCCCAGGATGAAGTTTTATGACGCACAGGCTACCCACAGACCCTTTACTGTGTTCCACTGTCACTTGGACTGGATGGCAGGCTGAGTGAGAAATAGGCCACTCCACCTGCAGAGCTTTGGATGATGACATCTCCCACAGCCTCTGAGCCTGTTAGAAAAATGCAATCTCCCCTCCAGGGGTTTCTTACATGCCCACATTGCCAGCCCCGTGTTAAATGCAAGCATTTAATCCTCCCAGAACAAGATGGACAACCATCCCCAGTTGTGTAATGATGGTGTCAGGCTGGAGAGGGACCAGGAGTGTGCAGACAGCCTGGCTACTCACTTAGCCATTGCTGCAGTTCACCCTCAGATAAATGTTGCATCCCTCACCCGGCCTTATTCCTGCACACTGTGGCCTGGCCTCAAGTCTACCATAGTGTCAGGCACTTACTTCATGGGTTTGAATAGCGCCTGCCCGTAATTCTGGAAGGTCATGATGAGCTTCAGCTGTGTGCCCCCTGACTTCATGGCTGCAGGAAGGAGGGAAGAAACAAACAGGGTGACTCAGAGGCTGTCTTAGGCCCCCAACTGCCCCCCAGGCAGCAGAGCCAGATAAAAGGCTCTAGCCACCAGCCAGCTGGATCGTCTTCATGTGGCTAGGGGTTCCCATTGTGCCTGAGAAGTTAGTTTGCAGCAATGGTGCACCCCAGCTAGCTGGAGCCCCTCCTGATGTCCAGTGGGGTCTAAGAAAGTTCCACAGTGGGAACCTACAAAGGAGCCCAGGGGATGGGCAGGTGCACTTGACTGACAGTGCAGGCATGAAGCCACACACACATACACACACACACATTCACACAAATGCATGGTTCACAAACACACCTACACAACCCTATGCCCCCACGAGCAACACCTCCATTCCCTCAAACATCCCCATATCCCCACTCCCACATAGACATCCTCATACCGTCACACCCTCAAAATACCCGACTGGCATACATACACACACACACCACTGCTTGCCAAGGCACAAGCAAACTACTAGGATTTAGTGAAGATCTGAGTGGTCACTCTGAAGATACCCCCCCAACTACCTTTAGGTTAGAAGCTCCTACATCTTTAGGACATGAAGGGATATGAAACCTTCAGAAGGTTCCAGAAGGCTCACTGTTCTGGCACCTCACCATGTCACAAAGCAAATGGATTTCCAAAGTGACTGTTCTTCACCCAACCTTGGATTTCCCTTTTGCTGAGGAAAGATGGAAGGAAAGCCACCAGGGCTTTTCTCTTCTAGGTCAGCTGTGGCTAAGGCCTCCCAGGTTGTTCAAGGCCCAGGGACATGAAGGAGCCGCTGCACAATGTAGCCAAACTCAAACACACGAGGGCTTGCCTGGTGTACTAGAGGCATCTTGTATTCATGGCAGGCTCAGGACAGGGGATAATGTTACAGATGTAACAAAGTCAGAGCCTGCAGTGGACATGTGGGTAGATAGGAAGTTACAAAGGGTGAGATAACTTTAGACTCCTTGGTGCAGGAGGTAATGCAGGGATGTGCTGGGGCCTGAGGTCACTGTGAGAGCCTCTCCTAGGGGAGAGAAACATAGGGCTGGTCACCAAAGAACAGACATAGGTCCTGGGGGGGGGGGGAGGCAGGCAGAGGATGGAAAGAAAGACTATATACAGGTCTCTAGAATCCTCCAAATGAGGCTGAAGACAGATGGTGGTGACAATCGAGGGACATCCTTTCACCATTTGGTTCCCAGGTATAATAGGACTGGCACAGGATTGGCTGATGGGACCAGGGTCAGGGGAGGCTCACAGGGTTGTATGTGTAGGGTGTGTATGTGTGTATGTGTATACAACCACAGAACAGTAAGACAGGTAGATCTCTATGAGTTCCAGGCCAGTGTAGTCTGCATAGTGAGTTCCAGGCTAGCCAGGGCTATACAGTGAGACCTTGCCTCAAAAAAAAAAAAAAAAAAAAAAAAAAAAAAAAAAAAAAAAAAAAAAAGAAAAAGAAAAGAGTTCAGTGGAAGAATGGCCATGGTGGCCCACTCTGATCTAGACACTAAAGTCTGCTTAGCTTCCCCAGGCTGAGCATCCTGGAAGGAATCTACTTTCCCAGCCTCAATTTTCCCTTCTGTAAAATGGGGCCATAGCTGCTTGCTTATTCTTGTATAGATATTTCCTCCAATTTAAAACATTTCTTTTTGGCTGGATTGCACAGGTCTTTAATCCAAGCATTTGGGAGGCTGAGGCAGAGGCAGGTGAATCTCTACAAGTTCAAGGCCAGCCTGGTTCACATAGTGAGTTCCAGGATAGCAAAAGCTACATAATGGGACCCTGTGTCAAAAAACTCAAACAAACAAACAAACAAACAAACAAACAAATTGCTCCCGGTGGGAAGCTCACTAAGATTTAGGAAGTAAATGAAACTTAAAAAGGCATGGGAAGTTCCTGGAACCTGCGAGGCCCCTCCTCCTGGTTTATATAAGCAGTTGATGGGGAGAGGAAACCCTCCCACAGGCCAAGCTGCCTGTGGGTCAAGCAGGCGGCTGCAGGAATGCAGTTTTCATGAGTCCCCTCTGCCCACACCAGGGCGGCCTTTCCTGAGGTGCAGCTGCTCTTGGTCATCCATACAAAGTTACCCGGGTACTCTCATTGGCTCACTAAGCTAGACTTGGGCCTGCCATTAGTGTCCGATCAGGGGAGATTAGATATTTGCTCATATCCCATCAGAGAAAGTCACATGATACTCCTTCACAAGGTTACAGAGAGGATCAGGCTCAAAAACCAGCAGTGGCCTGGACTCACCTGTACAGTGGGGGCAGCCCCCTTCCTGGGCCCAGGGGGCCACCTTCTTGGCTGTTTGCTGTGTACGATGGGTTACATCCGGGACTTAAGACTGATTTTGGGTTCCACCAGGCCAGAGTGGCTGGTATGAGATTGTGCTCTCCTCGGGTCACCACACATCTCATGCTGCAACCGAGGCACTAAGGGCAGGTGGCTGGTGGGTGACCCCACCAGGTGTGTGACTACCACCCTGCCTCCCCTCTGAGTGACACAGCAAAGTGCTTACGGTTTGACTATTAAGCAAACCGCTTATGAAACATTCATGCTCCAGGAACCTCATTTTCCCCCTGAAGACTGGCACTCATGGATTTTTCAGCCCTGATACACAGACCGGCAGCAAGCCTGCACCTCTCCCTAGGGAGCCTGGCAGGGGATTTTAATTTTCTGTTTTTCCTTATCTGTGCTCTTCTAAATTTGCACAACGCACACCCACTGCATCTCTGGTAAAGTGCAAAAGAAGGAAGTGATTAAAAAGTTTGTGGCACCATTAAGTCTCGGTGCATGGCCCATTTTCGTTTAATAACAGAGACTCCTGGGTTTAATGGTTCCTTCCTGGGCCAGGCTCTTTTTAAAGTTTATAATCCTGGCTTCCAAATAGCAAAATATTGTGTTAATCTGGGCAGCTCGTCTGTCCCTGCCCCTCCCCCGTCACCTGCTTTTTCTCTATTTGAATAGGCTCTCGTGTAACTGAAGCTTGCCTCAAACTTGCTATGTAGCTGAGGATGACCTTGAACTCCTGACCCTCTTCCCTTCTTGTTCTCAGTGCTGTTTATGGACCCCAGGGCTTTGCGCATGCTAGTAGCCACATACTCTACCCACTGAGCTACACCCCAATCTAATCGGTCTTTTTCTAAGGGGGTCCTGTCTGCCTCCCTGTTGTCCTGACAGGGCACATGGCCAGTACCCCCTGAGGAGGCAACCAGGAATTTTAGCTCTGTGGTGACTAAGGTACAAACTGTAAAGTTCTGTCCTGGCTCAGCTTACCCTTAGCCTTGCGAGCTGTCCGAAGCTGACTGGAGTATTCTGCGCATATAGAACCCAGACCCCACATATCTGACACAGTATACTCTGGGTTACAGCAAAGGCTCAGAGCGTTTGTCTAGGTGGGAAACAGCCTCAAACACCCACCCGCTTATACACTACACTGCCCTCACTGGGCATTTAGGAGACGGGCCAGAAATGGGTGGGCAGGGTAAAGGGACCAACAGCTAGCAGGGCCAGTATACAGAATGGATTTTCCTCATGGAGACAGATGGAAGGTCATGGCTAGAGGAAAGCTCTGCTAGCCAAGAGGTAGCCCTATGAGAGGAGTCTCTATAAGAAACTGAGACCCAAACTCCAGGCTTGAGAGCCACTGGGTACCTCTTAACAGGGAGGGCATTCTGTGGTTTCCAGTGGACTAAGGCCACATTTTATATAAACTAATTTGTTTTGTTTTGTTTTTTTAAAGACCTATAGGGGGCTGAGGATGCAGCTTAGTTTGGTAAAGGGCTTGCTTAGCACGTCCTGGGTTCTGTCCTGACCACTAGGGAGTCAAAGGCAGGAGGATTAGGAGTTCAAGGTCATCCTGTACTTCCCAGCAAGTCTGAGGTCACCCTAGGATAAAGAAGACTATCTCAAAACAAACCAACAAAGACCAGTGGGCCACACTTGAGATTGGTGGCCCTTGGGGAGGATCACCACTGCCAGGCTTGACCTTGGTCATCTCATCTGGGTGAGGGGATTGGTGATTCTGTATGGGGTCAGTCAGGCAGCAGCTTGACTGTTTACACAAAGACACACACACACACACACACACACACACACACACACACACACACACCTTGCTGCCTTTTATGGGACAGAGCAGAGACTGTTCCAGAAGATTAATGGAGGCAGGTGTTTGCATTGTAAGTGAAAGCCTCCCTAGGGAAGACTCACATTCAGAGAAAATGCCACTCAGCTCTTCCTGGCTTGTCTCACATGTCTCTGAACTGAAGAGGCATGCCCGTGGCTCAGATACTGGGCACCCACAGAGTTGCCTTCTGCCTGTCAATCTTCGACTTGAGGAAATGGGCATGGGGCATGTTTGCATGGTGGCCAGGGGTAGATTCCCTGAGGCTGGCACTACAGACACCCACCTGGACACGAGGAGCTACATAAGCTGAGCAAGCAGGCATTGACAGTGGCTGCAGCCAGGTCTTCAAGTCCCTGGCCTATAGTGCTTCAAGCCTATTATTGGCTCAGACCAGATACACACGGGGCAGCTTCCGCCCCAGTGGCCTCCAGCCTGGGGTTGTTATTATGTCATGCTGTCTCTCAGGCAGCTCACTTTTATTTTGAGAGTGGCAGTCACAGGAAAGCCCAGAAATACCCTGATGGAGCTTGCTCTGTCCTGCAGAAAGTCAAGACAGTGGGAGCTGGGCTCTATCCCTGCAGCTACCTGGCTGCACAGGGAGAAAACGGGGAGGGATGGGATGGGATGGGATAACTCAGGTCCCCACTGGAGAACACCCTTTGCTCTTGACCTTCCATCCTATGGTACTGAGCAAGGAATAGCCATTTACTGCCACCCTGGTGCACTTGGTCTTGGGATCTTTATTATTTTAGGAGGTCCCCCTACCACTGAGGCCTGTGACTTGTAGTCACCCCCTACACACACACACACACACACACACACACACACACACACACACACACACACACACCCTGCCCTGACTCAGAGGCAAGGGCCTGTGACCCTGCTGTGGCCAGCACTGCCTCTTGAGAGCTGTAGCTCCGTCACATCAGACAGGGATGAACCACCCCCCAACCACATTCACAGGCAGTACTTCCAGGGGCACCCCAGTCATAGGCCCTTTGTTCCGTGACACTCAAAGCCAATTCTCCCAGATTTTAACTCATCCATTCTTTCCTTCCGGCAGATCAATTAGTGGCAAGGACTTCAGTCAGTCATGTGGAGTCATTTTTCTTTTGTTCTGCCTTGTTCTCCAATCCACGGGCCTTGATCTGGCCTAGATGGAGCTGCCATTCAGGCCAGAGGCTGTCTGGGCTCCTCACTTCCAGGGAGACTTCTCCCTCAAGCAACTTCAAGTGTAGAGCGTTTGCATCCATAATTGTACAAGATGGTGATTTGATTATCACCAGTCCCAGCCAAAGGGGTGGCGGGCCTCACTTCCAGCTGAGCAGAGGTGGATGTGTGTGGAGTCTCTTTCTTTAAAGGCAGCAGTGGCCTGTTACCAGGCAGCCTGGAGCCTGGCTATAAATAAACCTCTATTGGCCTTGGCCAGCTGCGCTGTGGGCCACACAGAGCCTCACGAAAAGGAGCAAGAGGTTCTAAACAGGCGAGACTTAATGGAACCATTCCAAGAGGGCGTGGAAACCCCCCTCATCCCCCCGCACCATTTTCCATCACAACAGTTATTTCCTAGCTCCATATTTCATAGTGAGATGAATAACTTGAAGATTAAAGTCATCACTCCTGGGGCCGGCAGGGGTGAGGAGTGGGGATGGCTCAGTGGCTAATGTGTTTGCTGTGCAAGCATACAGACCCAAGTTTGCAACCCCACAACCCAAGTAAAAAGCTGTACAGATGTACAGATGTGATGACTGCTTGTAATTCCAGCCCTAATGAGGCAGACAGGGAATCCCGGGAGCAAGCTGGCTAGCCAGGCTAGTTAGAGCTGGAAAGCTCCAGATTCAGTGAGTGACCCTGCCTCAACAGGTTAAAAATGAAAAAGAACTGAAACATCTAATGCCAGCTTCAGACCTTCCAACACTCATGGGCACATATGTGCATAGACACCTGCAAACATGGGCACACACACATGTACACACATGTGCACAGACACTAACAAGCACAAACAACACACATACTCATACATGCTCACATACACATATACAAAATTAAAAATGTAAAAATAAAAGTCATCACTGGTTGACCACAGGGAAACCTGAGTCAGAAACAAGGGGATACTACCCACAAGTAAATCTCCCTTCTCTGGAGCCTCAGTTTCTCTAGTTGTGGGGAAGTTGGAAGGCAGGACTGGCCTTTGAAAGCCCCACTTTACTCCATCCAAGTCACAGCAGCACCAGACCTTAGGCAGAAGCAAATCTTATTATCTATGGGCACCCAGCTTGTCACTTACCCAACAGCTACACTATGATGAATGCCCAGGAAAGGCTATGTCTCAAGGAGCCAGGTGTCCACTCAAAACTTAGCCTGGATCTTTACACCCATGACAACCTTTGGGGCAGTTCAAGATGAGTTAAGTTGGCTAGAGCAGCAGGGAGATGCCTCCAGCAGGAAGCCTCTAGGGCAGTGTGCAGTCTCCAGGCCATTATGCTGTGATCCATATTCCTCGGCTGAATGGTCCACAAAGACAGCAGTACCTCTGAAAGCTGGTCTCATCCCTAGGTCCTTTCACTTGCTAGGGAATTGCTTTCCCACTGAGCCATGCCCCCCAGCCCCTCACTGGAGGATTCTAGGCAGATGCTCTCCTACTGAGCCACAGCCATAGCCCCTCACTGGGGGATTCTAGGCAGATGCTCTCCTATTGAGCTACACCCCAGCCCCTCACTGGGGGATTCTAGGCAGGTGCTCTGCCACTGAGCCACACCTCTAGTTCCGTCTGTGCCAGATGCTACTACTAAGCTACATTCCCAGTCCTCTTTTCAGTTTCTGTCTTAAGAAAGGGTCTTGTTAAGTTACCCAGGCAGGCCTTGGACTTTAGAATTTTCCTGTCACAGCCTCCTGCATAGCTAGATGACAGGCTTCACCTTCATGCTCAGCTTGGGTATTTTTTTTTTTTTAAAACAGTGATATTATACTCCAAAGAGAAAGGGGTATGGATTGTGGCTCCTTTATAACAAAGTCCCTATGTTAACAAGGACTATTCCTCACTTGTCCTGAAGCCTCTAAACTCCACAAGGGGCATGACAGGGTCAGGAGGGGGTGCATTCAGATCTGTTTGGCAGGAGGAGGGATGGTGGAAGACCACTAGCTTGCTACTTTTCACTAAGTGATATGACCCAACCCTGGGAGAAACTGTGGGTCCTGGCTTTTTTGACCAGGCAAGGGCCCAGCACACAGATCAGCAGAGCCCCAGACACCTCTAAAGAGGTGGTTGCTGCAGGCAGGCAGCTTCTAACTGCTCCGTGTCAGCAATTGGCCCAAAGCCCATAACTGGAGGGAGCCTGTTAGCAGATCTGCTTTCAAGACACATGGCAGGCTACCCAAGCACGTGCAGCTGGGCACACCAGGGCCACCCCTGCATAGCCCCAGCTCTCAGCCTGTCCTATGCCACTTCTTGAGTCATAGTGACTATCAATCACTCACAACCTGATAACAACCCCCAAACCTGCTCAGAAACTGACCCTGATATTCTGTTTTCCTGAAATTGAAAACTGGATTTTTTTTTTAATCGGGGGGGGGGGGGGGGAGCTTATTAGATCATAGAAACATGGAGATGTTCCTTTTAAACAGCTCCATCCAGGATACTCAGGCTTAACTTAGTTGTGTTTTGACCTGGTGAGATTCCCAAGCCCCTACTGAACTCTGAAGGGTGAAGGCTCAGAACCTCAGACCTGGGCTGAGCCATGCAATTGAGCTGTCCCTGCAGGAGGGACAGAGATGGCCCTTGTATAGGTGCTGGCAGGAGGTGCTGCAGCCACTAGGGGTCACCAGGTCATTTTTTTTTTTTTTTACAGGGGAGGGAGGGCCCATGTCTCCATAAATAACTCTACCAGGGGTCAAAGTGGTGACCCTCACTTTCCAGCAATGAGCCTGAGACATCCATCTGGCTCCTGGATCACCAAGGTGGCCATCTAGATAGCCTAGAAGGAGTGGCCCCCTTGACAGTGGCCTGCATAAGAAGCCAGCTTCACACAGCCCCAGGGCATCCACACCAAGGGCACAAGGGCAAGCAGGTGGCTACCTACCGACACTTGTGATCTTCTGAGAGCCGAGGTCCTGCAATAAGGCATCGATGGCCGGGTTATGCCTGGAGTACAGCTCATACCGGTTGATGCCGATGTGAAATTTGAGCCAGTTAGGATAGAGGTCCACGGCTGCCTCACCAGTAGGCAAGAATTCTGCCCCTTCAGCACCTTCGTGTGGCCTGCAAGGAATGAAGGCGGGCTATAGTCAAGCGTTAAAAGAGATGCAAGAGGTGGAAGGATGTTGGGGAGCTGGTCCTGAGGGTCAGGGCTTGCGACTTTGGGTTCAAAGTACAGGTTCACTAAAAGCTGCCTGCACACTGCCATGTCTGCACTTTCCTCCCTGGCTGCGGTTCCACCACCTAATAACACACCTTAAGGCCTGTAATTCCTATTTACCCTCGAGAGACGCCACAGACAACCCTAACTACCACTGACCTAGACCCAGAGTGTCAGCGCTATCCTAACACCTCTGTCCTGGGGTCACCAAAAGTGCCCCCACAAGAATGATGTCAGCTGGGAGTGTGTGGGAAGGGACTGTCAGCTTTTCCTGGGACCAGACAGCCTAGAAGTGGTAGGCACACCCACCCAGCCAGAACCCTCCCCAGCCTGCTGCCTTTGTTCCAAAGACCAGGGGCAGGGATGATGCAAGGGCTAAATTTGATTTTAATGAGTGAAGCCATAGGTGGGGTAAGCTGGATGAAGGAATCAGTCTCTCCAGCCCAGGTTCAGAGGGAAGACCTGATGCCTGCCTTCTCTGGTCATGGGGTTGTCTGGAGGAAGAACAGACCCCCTGGGAGCCTGCTAGGCTGGAGGGAGAGATGGGCCACGTTAGCTCTGCTTCATTGACAGGTGAGGGTCCTTCAGCTTCAGACTGTTCTATACTAGAAGCAAAAGGAGGACTGGGGTCCTCCAAGAAGCCACACCCTGACCACTCTCTCCGCTGCTGGATGGTTTCTGGCCAGCACAGCCCAGAAGCCACCAAATAGCTAGTATGTTCAGACTCAAGGCACAGGGCCTGGTCACACTCCAGGGGGAGAAAGGATTTCTGAGGCGCTCTCTCTCTCTCTCTCTCTCTCTCTCTCTCTCTCTCTCTCTCTCTCTCTCTCTCTCTCTCTCTCTCTCTCTCTCCTCTCCCCGGGAACCTTTGCAGGTTATTTGCTCTAGCCAGCCGGTGGTTAATATTTCACTCTGCCGGGCTTATTTGGATCTGTGCAGCTGTGGGGGTGGGGTGGGCACAAAGCTGGGCAGCTTGGAAGATAACTCCAGGATGGCTGTCTTCCTCCCCACAGCCGGTCAGGGTGGCCCTGGTTTACACCCTTGCCAGGAGGCTTCCACACTGCCAACATCACTTCTCAGATGCTTTTTGTCCCCAGTGACTTGATTTAAAAGACTTATTAGGTACATTCAGGCTTTCTGGAGGTATCCACCCCCAGAACAGCTCACCCATCGGTCTCAGAGCCAGAGTAGCCCAGCCCCTCCCAGGGGAAGGCGGCTCCCACTCTCCCTGGCTGGCTCTCCCAACATATTCATTCATCTGCTTCCTCAGCCATCAGCCATCGGCAGGGCTGGCCAACATGCTTCCTTGTAGGTGGAGCACTGGGCTTCTCTGGCTCCTGGTGGGCCGCCAGCCTCCCACACCAGGGTACTGGGGGCCTCCCAAACCCCAGCAGCCCTTCTCCCTAGGAAATCATTGTGGAGACAAAGGCAGGGCCCTGAGCAAGAGGAGCATCTGCCCCGCCCACCAGGCGTCTCTACCCAGCCTCCTCTCTGGGACCCCAACGATACACAAAATGCTTGGCCTGTGAAATAGCTTTCTAAGGGGGTGTCTTTATTCCCGGAAGGGTCGGGCGCGCCAGCCCCACCCCAGCTTCCCATTTTCTGCTCACCAGTCTGGATTCTCTGCCGCTGCCTTGGGATTAAACCTGATGTCGCTGTTCACATTAAACAGGACGTCGTCCTCTGTAAGAGGAGGCACAGCCCCCTGGTAGAGTGGGTGTTCAAACAACTTGGCTAACAGTGATCCGTCCCCACTGGGGCCAGGGGGCGGCACCCGTGGCCGCGGCCCAGGGTCTCGAAGCAGTGGCCGGTGCGCAGGGTCACGGGATGGCGGGGAGCCGGGCTCCTGACCCCGTGGAGTGTGATCAACCGGCTCTGCTGCAGGAGGCAGCTTCTCCAAGGAGTGGGAGGTTAGGTTAGAGGCTGGATCTGAGCTGAAGTCTTGCAGGATGCGTAGTGTGTGTTTGTTGGGCCAGCCTGCGTCGCCACCGGCCGACTCCCCCGGGCGGTTCCTCGGCTGGGCCCAGCCTGGGCCAGCTGCTTCTGCTGCTGGCTGAGCGCAGGAGCAGCCCGGCTCCCCTGAGGATCGCGCAGCGCGCCGGTCCAGCTTGGGTAGCAGGTCAACAGCAATGTGCAAAGCACAAGCCAGTAGGAACACCACCAGGATGAGCACGCGAAACCTGCGCACCAGGATCATCTTCATGGCCACGCAGGCCAGTGAGCTCGGGGGGTTCCGGACGCGCGCTCCACCGGTGCCCCTCAGCTTGGCACCAAGCCGGCAACGATTCACGGGTCAAGGTCCATTCAGCATAGGAGCAGCTACAAGCTCGGGGGCTGTCCCCAGGCTCGGACGTCGTGGAAGACACCCGCGACCAAAGCACCGGCTCTCCAGGCCATCTCGAGAGGCAGCCAGCGGCCCTCGTCGGTGGAACTGGTGGCAGTGGTGACAGGGAACACAGCAGCGGACGATGGTCTCTGGGACAGCGACCACACTCATTGGACGTGTAGACAGAAGGCGCGGCTATTCATCCCGGCCGGCCCGGGCGCGACGGATCCTATCCAGCCAGAGGGCTGTGCTTCCCCCTGGGCCACTCCGGGTGCTGGGCGGGTGACAAGGAGCTCCTCCGCGTTGTCAGGCTGCGGCTAGGAGGCCGTGCTGGAGAGACCAGGGTGAAGGAAGGGAGCGCGCGGGGGCGCGCGGGGCGAAGCCGCGATCTGGCAGGTGCAGCGGGCTGACCCGGAGCGCAGCGCCCGCACGGCGGAGCTCCAGGCGCCCCGCGCCGGGCCCGCTGATATCCGAGCGCCGCGGAGCCGCCCCCCGCGTCAGCGCCCGCAGATTGGCGGAGCCGCGGCCCCGCGAGGCCCGGCCGGCCCGGCGCTCGCCCGCGCTCCGCTCTCTCCTCCCCTCGGCCGCGCCCCGCGGTGTCGCCGCACCTCCTCCGCACTGAGCCTGGAGCTCGAGAGGCCCGGCCGGGAACCCGCAGCCAGCTCCGGCTCCGGCTCTGCGCGCACGGCTCTCGGCCTGGTCGCCTGCGTCCCCGAAACTCCGCGCGCCGCCAGCTGCAGCCGAGCGGCTCCTCCCCGGCGAGTAGAGGCCAGAAAGCAGGCCAAGTCCCTCCCCGGAGCCCGCGGGGCGTCTGCGCGGCCGGACGAGCTCCCCTCCGGGCGGTGTCCTGGCACCTCGGTCCCCGCAACCCGCTAAGTGGAGGACGAAGGGGCGACGTTGCCACGCGGCGGAGAAAACGGCGGGGGAGCGCGTTGAGCCCCAATCCGAGGGGACGCCAGAATCGTGGCAAGGCTGCCGGGCCCACCCCACCCCAGGGGACACGCCTGCGTCTTAACCCTGGCAGCGCCGCTGCGCTGCGGGCCTGGCTGAGAGGCTCCCCTGCGCGGGCTGTGGGCGGGGCGCGTCTCCCTGCCTGCCCTCTGGGATGCTAAATCGGGGTACATATTTTGGGGAGATCTGCTTCTACCACGTGGCCTTATCTGTCACCACGGGGCTTATGGTCCCCAGCCCCCAGTCGGAAATAGGAATTCATGGGAATTTCCGCCTAAAATTTTGGGAAGGTAAACAGGAGAGGGTAGACTGATCTACAAGCTAAGAAGACCTCCAGGCTTAAAGCACCTGCAGATTTCTACAGCAGCCCAACCCAGCTGCCTCTAAGGGACCGAGGGGCGGAGCCTGTGCTCTGGGAGCCCCCCTTTGTCATGCTCTCCTGGCTGTGCTCCCAAACCCTCTAATGCTGGCAGTGAGCCCGAGTTCTCTGTGAATCGAGTGCACAGCATATGATATTTCTAAAGATTGAACGATGGATGAGTCTGTGGTAGCCGACATTCAGTAGATGTCCACTAGCTTCTTATTAGGGAGGAAGAGGGTCGCAGCCAGCTAGCTGGTCAGCTAAAGTGTTAGAAAGAGAGAGGGTAGAGTTCCATACACTCCTGTAACAGGAGCTGGTGCCTGTGTTGGACTAAATAGGGGAAACGCAAGAGTGCAGTGGGTGGAGCCTAAATAGAGGAGCACCCCCAGGAAGGTATGGCTTACACCAAGGAAATTGAGACACTGCATTCATCCTTCCTTCCACTCACACAGACAATGAGTTTGTGTAGATTGATCCCAGAATGGCCAAGGAGATGGTTGGTGGTCCTGAGGTCTCTGGGGATAGGTGAATGTCCTCAGGACAGAGGCAGCAGCTGCTGAACTGAGGAATGGGGGCATCAGTGTAAGTGCCTCCCTGGGGCTCCCTGGTGTCTCCTGGTATCACGGACACTTTGTTCACTATAGCAGTGTGACCTCAGGGAATTCCTGGCTCTCTGGCTCCTACTGTAGGGAAGCAGGATGTAGTAGTCATAGTAGTCAGTGTATACAGTGGGCCTGCCTGCTGGCTTTTTCCCCCAGCAACACCTGTTGCTGTCTGCTAATAGGCTTCCCTTTAGTCACTCTCTGCCCCTCCTCTCCCCAGGATGCATGCACTTCTTGGAGGGTCTCTGAAGAGACTTAGCTCTCATGGCTCCACCCAGAGGCCCCAGGAAGGCCAAGGTGACTCATGCAGAAGAAGTCTCTGAAGGCACAGAGGAAGGCATGACACGCTGTGCCCCAGCTACTCTGAGCTGAGCAGGAATTTAACACAGACATTCACAGATGACACACATAGGGAAACACAAGGTAAAACAGTGGCACAGATACACAAGTACTCCTAGATATACTAACTCAGACACACAGACACAGCTAACACATATGGGAAAACACAAGGAAAACCAGCGACACACAAACACACAAGTGCACATAGACATACACAGACACAGGCATACAAACACAGGTGACACACAGGTACAGACATTGGCACACACACACACACACACACACACACACACACACACACACACGAAAACTGAGCCTCATAAAGCAGCTTCCTTATAGCTGTCTGGGCAGATGCCCCACCAGGCAAGATGAGGCTGCCCAAGGAGGACCCTGATGACGGCATGTAGTCCCTGTCAGAGGTGGCTCTGGAGCCTTCTTGCTTCGAAGCTGGAGCTCTAGTAAAGCATTGTGAAACATGTCAAGAGTGTACAAGCTCAGCAGAGGGGGTGGTATAGCTGTAAGGAGACTGCTGTCTTATCAGAGTGGCCACAGCCCCTGAAATGGCACACTAATAACTTGTCCATGAGGGAATGCCCTCTTGGCAGTTTGCATATGGTGCTCATGCAAGGATTCCTGTGCAAAGGCCCTGGGGCACACCAGAGCAAGGAGACCCACAGAGCTGGTGCTGGGTGAGGGGCAGAAGGGAGATTGAGGAGACAGTGTGTGTGTGTGTGTGTGTGTGTGTGTGTGTGTGTAGGCCCAGTGAATTATGTCTCAAGTGAGGCAGGCCATGAGAAGGTAGGGACAGGACTAGAATTGGGTCATGTGCCTAGCTGTTGTCTTAGTGGTTTGGCCACAGAGGGGGAGAGATTATTCTGGAAAGGGGAAGAATCTATACAGTGAGCAGAGGGGGATGCCAAAGCCCTGGGACTGAGCTACCACTCCTGAAGGCACAGATAAGGCTGCAGCCAGGAATGGATTGGGGGCTTCCACTTGTAGGCAGGCTTGGTCTTGGGGACCAAACCAGTAGAGAAAACTAGAGACCTCAGAACTGGGCTGGGGCCAGGAGGGACAGGACTGTGTAGGGAATGCAGCTAGCACAACCCCAAGCAGGAAATCCCAGGGCCCCAAACTATCTCCAGAAAGTCAAGAATCACTTCAGGCCATTATGAGCAGCAGAAAGTAGTGTAGTGGCATCTTGCCTTGCCAGTGAACTTGCATTGGTGGCCACACCCTTTGGGTGTGGTTTCAAGTGCAGAAGTGACTTATTATGAGGTAGAGGAGGGACTGGCTCTTGGGTTGTAGACAGCATTGGAAGGGCAGAGACTCTTAACATCAGGAGTGGGTACAGAGCCTGGAGAAGGGAGTAAGGTGTGGGGAGGCCAGGCAGGGCAGCATGCAAAGTTGAACCTGCAATTACTGAGGGATCTAAAACAAACAAACAAACAAATAATCAAACCAAAACAAATCCAAAAACCTGGTCTCTTCCAAATGTAGAGAGAGTTCTTAGTGTACAGAATCTTTCTTCCACAGAAAGAGACTCCTATTGCTTCCAGAGCTTCCCAGGAGCCCACTGTGGTGAAGAGGTGCAGGTGAGACCTATTGTAATCTCATGCAGTCATATGGAGGCATATCCCCACCCTCTGGACTCAATAGGGATATCTCGATTCCCTGCAGTCATATGGGGACATATCTCTGCCCCTTGCTCTCATGGACCATATCTTGGTCCTGCACCCGTATGGGGGCATCTCCTGGACCCCTACAGTCATATGGGGCCATTCTTATATCTTATAGCCATATTTGTCATCTTATTCTGACTTTTTCATGTGCGAGAGAGCAAGCAGAGAAGCGAGGTCGAGTCTGGGGATGCTGGGAGCATATATTTTCAGTTGCTGGGAGGTTGAGGGAACTTTGGGTCTGCCCTTGACTCAGGAGTTCATGGAATTCTCTGAAGACATTTTAATGAGCACCTCTCACCATCACCCATCACTCCACCATGCTCACGTCAAGAAGATCTGCCTGGGAAGACCCCGGGTTACCTGATTCTTGGGATCTGCCTTTGCCCTCAGGAAGGTGACTAGGCACTGCTGTGAGACACAGAGCCAGTGAGGACCCCCGGAAGGATTGTGAAAGGACCACAGGCACTTTGGGGATTCCAGTGAGCTGGGGACAGAGCCCTGTGGGCAGAGATGGGCTACATATAAAACCGCAGCAGGGCTCTGTCACTGGGGACAGCCGGGAGCAGTGGCTTGAGAAGCAGTCTCTCTGCTTTTGCCCCCAGTTGTTCATTGCTCTTGGGATCCCGGAGTCAGAGGAGATGCTGTGTGCCCTGGAGTATCAGGGAGTTGTCCACCCTGGCTGACCTGTCTGGGAGCCCATCACTGATCTCAGTAGCAAGACGGCTTGCGGGTGGATAAAGGTGACGCAGAAGCACGGACCCAGTGAGCAGCTGCCTCCACGTAATGAAGAAAGAAGCTGGGTGTGCATGGCTGCCTAGAATGATGGAACATGGCTGAAACAAACAAACATAAAACCCCAGGCAGTGGTTATCCAGGCACAGATGGCACCGTAGCAAAGGGAAGAGAGCTGGGCTAGGCATGTCCACGGCACTGTTCCTGTGCAGAATTCATGGTTCTCCCAGGCTCACTGAGACCAATCAGCTGTGGTTTACAAAACATTCCTATCAGACAGGTAGTGGACAGTCCGCATAGGTCCAGGACCCCTTCCTGGAGAAGGGAAGAAG